AAATTAAATTTTAAAGCATATGAAATTAAAAAAAAATATTACATAATTAAATATAAAAATACAATAATTATTAATTTTCATCATCAAATTTGTTTCACATATTTTCAGTTAAATTATCTCTACCGAAACAATGAGACACTGCCATGTCACTAAGAACTTACTCCATAAATTCCTTAATTAAAGACTGCTCCTTAGCAATTTAGCTTTGTTAATATTATTTTATTCAGATGGACATAGGATTATGTGCTAAGGATTGGTGAAAAACCACCATGAGATATGGTCTAACCTCTATTTGTGACAACTCGCCCATAAATTGTTTATGCATGATCAAAGTAATGAACATGAATAGTTTTTCATGATTGTGGAGAACTTATATGCCTTGATATTTATACGTGCGACACTTTGTTTATAACAACTTGATCATTTAATGTTCAAAAAAAAACTCGGTCATTTATGGAATAACTTAGTCATATATATATATATATATATATATATATATTGGGTTACGGAAAATATGAAATAGTTTTTTCTTTTACAATCTAAATTATACAATGATTAATATATTGTATTCATAATCATTGATGACTAGTATATATATATTGGGTTACGGAAATATGAAATAATTTTTTCTTTTACAATCTAAATTATACAATGATTATAATGTATTCATAATCATTGATGACTAGTACCTTGATATCTATGCATCCATGTCTATGTCCATGTTTATATAATTTGTGTAAAACATAATCTAACTGTAATAATTACAGCTATGTTTCCCCTTCTTGGTTACCATAGTTATATTCTTTTTCGATACTTGCACACAAATACAATCGTCTTTTCTGGAAAGTACGTTAGCATCCACATATAAGGTCCGACTTCCCAGTGGTCCGAACGAATACAATATATATCGATCGTATGGATGGACTTTTTGAGAAACTGATAATTATATTAGGTGGGTCTTAGCCCAAAAAAGAAAGTTTGTTACATAGAGAGGCCTTAGCAAAAGAATCTGCAGGCCCATTGAACTTTCTAGGAATAAACGACTGTTGAAAGGAAGAAAAAAAAGAAGCAGAAAGCGATTCAATGTCTGCTAGAACTCCATAGAGCTCTATAGATCGTTGATTCGTAGTGATGGCTTGGATGAGCCCTTTGCAATCTGAACGTAGCCAGATACGATTGAAGTTGAACGAACTTACATGGAGGAGTGGATTCCGCCATTAGTGGAGATGAGGTGTGGTTTTGAAAAGAGCATCCTCGATTGATCTCCTTCCCTGTCTGATCAGTGAAGATCCATGCGAGGCCTGCTGAGTTTGTGCCTTTTGTCCACGCCTCATCTGTGTTACAAATAATCACCGAAGCCGACATGATACAGATCGGGTTTGAGAGAAGAGCAGTCGTCAATGGAGGGGAGAGAGGGGCTTGAGCAGATTCCCATTCCTTTAGAAGTCCGATAGACTTAGAGAGAACCTCTTGTGGTGATGTCTGTTTCTTTTCAAAGATGAGGCGGTTCCTACTAATCCACAATTCCCAACAAATCCATGGAAACAAGTTCACTGTGGAGCCAGTTGGTGGTAGGTTGACTTTGGAGAAAGATTCTTGGAGCCTCGATTTGAAAGAAGAAACTGAAGCAGGGTCAGGAGGCGATGTCTATGGGCACAGGTCCCAAACCTCCGAGGCCATGTCGCAGTGAAATAGTATATGCTCCACGGTTTCGTCGTTCCCACATCTAGTACATAGCATATCACCTAGAAGACCTCTTTTCCGGAGGTTATCACCTGTTGGAAGATTTTTTATAGCACACTTCCAGAGGAAGAGCTTGATCTTTGGAAGGAGCTTTGGTGACCAAATGAACTTTTTCCATTCCTAATCAGAGTGCCTTGTATCCAAGAGTGAGTTAGTCGATTGGATTTTTCCTAATTGGGTAGAGTAATAACCTGATTTTACTGAGTAGACACCCGGTTTTTGTTGTGTCCAGATATAGGAATCATATGTCCCTTCTGTGCTTGGTCTGATGGAGAGAATATGGTTGGCAAGATCCGGAAGTAGTCTCTCAACAAGGCTTATGTTCCATTCCTTGGTCTCTCTAGATAAGAGGTCTGCCACCATCAGATCATGGTCTCGTAGAAGCACTGGTCCAATAGTTACAAGGTCTGTAGCAGTGTCGATCCATGAGTCAGACAAGACTTTGGTAGATTCCCCGTCACCTATTGCTTTTCCTAGATGGTTTAGAAGCAGATCTCTACCGGGTAAAATTCCTTTCCATCCATGTGACAAGCTTTGGAGTTTAGATACTTTGAGGAAAAGGATTTGTGGCAGTATTTTCCAAGAAGCACCCTGGCTAACAAGAAATCCAGTTTGGTGATGAGTCTCCAACCATTTTTAGCGAGGAGAGCTTGGTTAAAAATCTGGATATCTCTAAACCCTAACGCTCCCAAATTTTTTGGTAAGGTAAGTTTATCCCAAACTGTCCAGCAGATTTTCTTATCTCCCTCTTTTGGATCACACTAGAATCTGGTTAATTCTGATTGGATTCTCTTGCATAACCCTACAGGCAGTTCAAAGCATGTCATGGCAAAGGAGGGGATGGCAAATAGGACTGATTGCAGCATTGTCGCCTTTCCTGCTGTGGAGAGAAACTTGGATTGATAGCTAACAGCTTTTTGGTTGATCTTGTCTACTATGGAAGCAAACAAGTCCCTTTTCTTCCTCCCAAAGTGTTCAGGTAGGCCTAGGTATTTCCAACCCCTCCTATTGAAAATACCCAAGTGATTTTTAACTCTATCCCTGATGTCTTGAGGTGCTTTCGCAGAGAAAGAGATGGAAGATTTCTTAGCGTTTATCTTCTGCCCTGACACAGTTTCATAGCTGTGGAGTATATTGATCAGAGCAGTACAACATTGAGGGTCTGTCTTGGTAAAAAACATAGTATCATCTGCAAAAAGCAGATGATTAACCTTCGGACTGTTCCTTGCAACTCTGATGCCCGCTAACGTTCCATAATCCTATTCTTTTTTGCAGAGACCAGAAAGAACTTCCGCGCAGAGAATGAAAATATAGGGAGAAAGGGGATCTCCCTGCCGGATGCCACGCTGGGGATGTATATTTCCTCCTACCTCGTCATTGAATAGGAAAGAGTAAGTGACTGTCGTGATACATTGCATGATCCAGTGGATAAGATTCTCATGAAAACCCATCCTGCTTAGCACTTCTCTTATAAACGTCCATTCTAATCTGTCATATGCCTTACTGATATCAGTTTTTACTGCCATTGAGTAGTGAATCGTAGCTCCAGAGGTTTTGAGATAGTGTAGAATTTCATGGGTGATCAAGACGTTGTCAGATATCGCTCTACCAGGTACAAATGCAGATTGGTTTTCGGATATTACTTCTTGTAGCACTGGCTTTAATCCGAGAGAAATTATCTTAGAAATAACCTTGTAGTATACATTGCACAACGCAATAGGCCTATAATCAGAGACTGCTTTAGGACTGGAGATCTTAGGTATAAGTCTGATGTGCGTCGTGTTGATGGAGAAAGGTATATTCCCTGATGAGAAGAAAGCCAGTATTTCTTTGGTGATTGCAGGTCCAACTGTGTCCCAGTTAGTCTGGAAGAAGCTTGCTGAGAAGCCGTCAGGCCCCGGGGCTTTGTCGGGGTGAATGGAGAACATCGCCAGCTTGACCTCCTATTTCTATTAATTTCGCGTTTATCTCTGCCGAGATACAAGGAGTCAAAGCCTTCTGGACCAGTTCTGCTGCTGGTGGGTTTACTGACGTGAAGATGTTAGAGAAATAGCAGGAGATGACCTCAGAGATTTTGCTATCTTCAAAGACTGGATTTCCCAAAGCATCTTCAATCACTGATATTCTGTTACGAGCTCTTCTTCCTTTTGTAGAAGCATGGAAATAGCAAGTGTTTCTGTCCCCGAGGGCTAGCCATGTTTGTCTGCTCCGTTGCCTCCAATACTCTTCCTCAGCCTTATAAGCATGGAGGAGACTCTTATTAAGTGATGAAATGTATCCCTCATCAGCAGTCAGGTCAGTCATAGCAATATCGAGTTTTTCTTTTGGCTCAGTGATTTGTTTCTGACTGTTCTTATAATGTTCTCTGCTCCAGCTTGAGATGGCTTTCCTGCACTTCTAATCATGTCTGCAACCTGAAGGTGATTGTACTCTTTCCATACCTTGTCGATAATATATTTAACCTCAGTATTATCTCTTAGCCTCCGGTCGTACCTAAAAATCTTATGTGTCTTCTTCTTTTTTGTATCGAATGTGGAGAGTATTGGGCGGTGGTCAGACCCTTCAAATTGTAATTAGTGTGTTCTTCCATTGGGAAATTTTCCAGACCAAGTACTATTGGCCAGAGCGCGATCAAGGCGGCAGTGTACAAGGTGTGTATGTCGTTTCCCCCGCCAAGAAAGGAAATTGCATGTGTGCCTTATATCGAACAAATCACATGAAGACAAGAAGGAGCGAAAGTTGGAGAAGGAACTTTCAGGACGTTCTTTTCCTCCTGATTTCTCGGAGTTGTCAACGATCTCATTAAAATCCCCGGTGAAGAACCAGGGGTCACCGCATAGAGAGTCTGAAATACATGTGAGAAGTTGCCACACTTCCAGTTGTTTTGGAATCTCTGGAGCCCCATATACAAAGGTACTATGGAAGGATTGATTTTTGTAACAGACGATAGTGCCAATATGGTTCTGGCTCGAAGTAAGTACTTGAACACTGATATCCTTTCTCCAGAGAAGAGCGAGTCCCCCTGCACCTTGCCCATGAGGAGAAATAAAAAAATGAGCCTCCAAGTTTAGATCCTCAGTTTCCTTTAGCACAAACTCATCCTGGTTTTTTGTTTCTTGCAGGAAGATTATATCTGGGGAATTCTTTTTATTGAGTTCTTTGAGCCTTTGGACTGTCATGGGATTTCCAAGACCACAACAATTCCAGCTCAAGACAACTAAGGGAGATGAGGATGATCGCGATGAAAATCCTGGTTGTCATCCTGCTGGTTGGGGGCTCTTGATGTTGTTGATGTTCTGGTTGAGGTCTGTGATGAATGGGAGACGCGTGAGGGAAACCATGTCTTGCTGGTGAGGCATGGATTTGTGATAGGAGTCTATGTGTAGAGGTAGCTCCTGTGAAGACTCGGGGGCTTGCTGATGTCCTTCTTTGTCTATGTTGTCTCACTGAAGCCCGTGCGTTAGACGATTCTGGGATATCAAAGATAATTTGCTCCATCACTGGAAGTGTATGATGGTCATCAGGGGCCTGATTCGTTTCAATCTCATGGTTAGAGAGGTTGGAGGTAGCAGCTGCAATGATGCTTGCAGCTGTATTTTCCATCAGGTTATGCTCTTCCCCTAGGGCTACTCTTTGCATACGAGCTGCTCTTTCCACCGGGTCGTCAACGTTTGTGTACTTGAAAGTTACATAACACAGGTCTTTCATAACCTCTTCTGTACTCGGAATTTGCGGAGGTGGTGTTGGGAAGTTGTTGAGCTCTAGGTTTCTCTCTAGAGGTGGTCTATTTCCAGAGGAGGCGTGTGTAGGAGTGTGAGCACTATCCCGAGGTGGAACGATCTCAGTGGCCTGTGGGGATCTGCTTCTCTCTCTGCACACTCTCCATTGTAAGTTTTGAGTCAGGCTCTGAGAGTTTCTTCTGTTGTTCTGGTTATCCTTATCTAGCCTTCCCCTAGTGTGTGATGGTGATGCAGGTAGTCCCTCTATCCGGTTTCTGGTTGTGTATCGAGTAGGAGACCTCCTAGTAGCCTGGTGGGGAGTGATTTTGTTACGTAGGGGTTGTGCTCGTGACACAGGGAGGGGTACTCTATTGCCGACATGTCTGCCGCGGCGGTCAAGTCTTTGGTGAAAAGGTTCCTCAGACATAGCAGGATTCTTCCCTTGTCGTATGTTCTGTTGGTGATAGGTACTCTCATTTCGCGAGGGATGTCTTGTTGTCGGGGAGATGTGATGTTCTGTTCCAGTGAAAGAGTTGCGCGACTCCAATTCCACACCTCAAGGAGATAGAGGAAGTTCTTGGCGAGATGAGTGAGGCTGTTACATAGTGAGCAGTGGAGTTCAAGTCCCTCATACTCTAGAGTGACTGGGAGTTCCACTCCCTCGGAGAAGTCGATCAAGGCTTCCTTAACGAGTGGCTTTAGAGCGTCCACGCTCACTCTAATTCTTGATGAAGTCTTGGTTATGCAGTATTCTTCCAGGGTACCAAGGTCTTGGCCTATATCATAGATCATTTTCTCGTGCCAGTAATGGAGCGGGAGACCATGTAGACGGATCCAGAAAGGGATCTGGGATGGGAAGAGGGGTGAGAGAGCTGGCTCCCGACGCTGGAGTATGACCATCCAGTGGCCATAGTGATAAGGTCTAGCCGCTAGAACATTTAGTAAGTCTTCTTCCAGCTCGAACCTGAATTGGAAGGAGTTGTAGCCTAGATCTGAGAAAGTGACTTTGCCTTTGAGGACTCATTTCATCGGGAGGGCTAAGATGAGAGCTCCTACCGGTTGTTCCTTGGAGTTTGTGACTCTTCCTATCGCGGTTAAAGCGTTGTCTCTTATTAAGCTCGAGGTGTCAAAGATTGGTGCTTTAATGCGGCGACGGGGAGGTTCCTTGTGAGAGTTGTCCGGACCCTAACTAAGGCTGGAAGAGTGGCGGTGAGTTGGGGACATTTTGGATGCAGTTGCTTACTTCGGGAGATGTATGAGATCTGGTTGTATAGGTACACCTGAAGTTAACTGAGAAAGATGCTGAGGGGCACGAGCTTGAGGAGTTCATGTCAACTCATGTTGTGCCGGAAAACCTCTAGGAGGAGGGTTTCTTGCGCGCCGAAATCAGGATTTTTGAAAAGATTATCTTAAAAGGTGGACATAAATAGAAAAAATAATAATTTGATAATAACCACAAGGTGCACGTTGCAACCACCAGTGTACGAGAAGCATAAGAACGACACGTTGTAAGTGATATAGATGTGATCGAGCGAGCCAGTTCATCTCTCCTGCCACAGCCAAGACAGTGCTATCCTTCTACTTTTAACAACCATATCAATTTCTTCATGTTCTTGGTAAAGATGTTTATAATTTGATTTTAGCTAAGTTAATTAATTACTTAATTGGGGGACATAGTAGGGAAAAGTTTGTTGGAAATTGGTCAGCTCCTTGGGCATATCGAGTAAGAAAAAAGGCTCCTTTGGATTTTTAGGTACTAACTAAAGTTTTTTTCTGGTACCGGATAAATATCTTTTGGCTTGCCTTTACTCATTCACAAATGAATTTTCTTCTTTGAACCATATTCCATGAGCCACACTCACATAGTTATATTTCTTCCTAAACTAATTAATACGTTGTATTTTTATATCTGAAAAATTCATATAGTTACAGGGGAAATCACTCATTAATTAGGTGTCAAAATGCATTCAGTAATCTTTAGCAAAAAAAAAAAAATTAACTCAACTTAGTAAGCTAATTTACAAAATTATTATCAAACTAGATTAATACACGCGCCTTGAATGTTGTATATATATACAATTATATATATTATTATTTATTTGCATTTTTTCTTTTATTAAATTACTGAGAGCTCAGTGACTATTACATATATAACTAAATTTCTGCGGAGATATAAATCAAATAATCATTGTTATTTATAATTATTTTATGGTAAATAAATCAAAATAATAATTTTTATCTTTTATATTGTTTATAATTAAATTTGAATGATATGAATATTGATGTATAGTACATTTTTCAATATGACTATTTATCAGATAAAATTTTCCTATTCACATGGTTTTATGATTATTTGTATTTTTATAAAACAAATATTGAAACATTGATGACAAAATTTTAAATATGGAATTTTATTTAATTTATAATCATTTTAACAAATTCAATGAAAATTTAAAATTTAAAATACTCATGCATTTTCTATAATTTAATTTCAATGATATTAATATATATAAATATATATATATAATCTAATATTTATTAAAAAATAAATCTTACTCATATACTTTATGAACTTTTGTATCTTATTATAAATTAAAATTAAATAATTGATCACGAATTTCCAAAGTGAGATTTTTAAAAGTTTTATAACATTATTAGTTTTTAAAAATTAAAAATATAACATATATAGAAAAATGAAATTTTTTATTATTTGGTTAATTTGATTTTCTAATTTATTTTAATAATGTTAGAGGATGTATAAATTAGTATCAAAATCTTGATTATTTAAAATCATTAATTATCATATATATTTTGATCAGATTAGGTAATTCCGTATGTTTATTTAAGGAAATAATGAATAATATTTTTATATCAATAATTAGTTATATGATTAGGATAATGAAAAGTGTACTATATATTTATATGGACCAACTTATTTTTTTAAAGATTTTGAATTTGATTTTCGTGATGACACGTATCATAGTTCAAAAGTTATAATGTTTCTCTTTTAATATATTTAGGATCACAAGCATATTTATAATATTATTTGAGATGTCAGTTTCCTATGTGTCACTTTCATATTAATTCCAATGGCCATTAAATATAGTGATACACTTAATTAATCAAATACATCTAACTGCCACTATAAAAAATATTTATTTATTTTTATATAGATTTCCTTGTATTTATATTTTTCAAATAATTTATATAATAAAAACAGTTATAAAATTTATAATATTATTTGAATATAGAAAACAAAATTTAAACTATTACAATATATTCTTTATAATTTTATACATATAAATTATAAAATGATTCAATATATTAATAAATGAATATAATTTTCTCAATTGTTATTATAGAGATATTAACCAACTATTACAATCAAGTTCTTTCAATATATATGTATATATATATATATGCATGAGGATTTAAAACACTATCATTGTTATATTCATTTATGTAGCTTTGAATTAAGTATTTGTATTATTTTAAAAACAACATATATCAAATAAGATATCACTAAAATATATTTTTACAAATCTAAGACAAGAATCAAATTAAATGAAAATAACAAAACTAATCAATTTTTTATTCTATAATACAAAATATTATGATTAAATGGAAAAAGTACACACTATCTAATATGTCCAAATAATAACCAAACAGATATGATATTATATATGAAAACTCATATGTATGATTAAAATAGAAAATATTATATAAAATAAATCATACATATTATTTACCATATAAATTAAAAGAATATTTAAAATTAAAAAAATATTGATAAATTACTATAATGTATATCTACTATATAAATATTTATACACGTGCATGAACATGGAAAATCATATAGTATTATATTTATGCATTATCCTAAACATTATTTATCAAGTGTTTTGATTAGATGTCATCACCACAATCAATCTAGAAATAATAAATGATGACATAACTCACTTAAATGATGATATATGACTAAATCTAGACATGACTAGATATTGTCAAACTAATAAATTTTTACCTAAGACATATATATTAGAAGAATTGAAACATTTATCCAATTACTTAGAGTCTTCCAATCCAGAAACTCTCAAGTTTCTAACTTTTAGAAAATGAGATTTTTTTTTTGAGAAATTTTAGAAAATGAGATTCCTTCGCATAACATGTTGCAGGTCTCTTGTTTATATAAAAGTAACCAAAAAAATAGAGAAAACATAAGTGCATAAATCTTTTATGTTTTCGTGATTTGTACAGTTGATACATTGGCTGTGTTAAACAGACCATCCCAAGGTTGTTTGCTAAGCGCATGCAAAATCTTTTCTATTGATTTATATGTTAAAAATTCATAGTATAAGGAAGATGTTTGGATTAATAAAATTATCAGAAAATTTGTTTCTTATTTTTAGAATCCAAAACTAAAGTTGATTGATTGCGTCCAATATGATTTTTAATCGGTGTCAAATTAGTTTATTGGCTTCTTCAAAGGTAAACAATAAATATTTTTATTTTTTTATTATTTTTTTAATTTCTCTATTTTCTTAGTTGTTATTTTATTTTATTATAAGAAAAGTTTGTCAAATGTAGGATTAAGGTGGCAGTAGTTAATTAGATGTGCTATATACCATAGTCTCCATCTACCCCCACTACATTACCACCCATTTACATTTTGCATATATGCTGATATTTCCACACACATGTAGAAAAACACAAGTGTATGTCAAACAAAAAATACATATACAGTTGTGTATCTCTGTCACTGTGTGTGTTGTCACTCACTAGTTCTAATGCGCGTGGACCTTTGTGTACTTCCAAAGGAGAAAACAGTTGTTGTCTATTTGCTTTTAAGTTTTAACATAATACGTGAGTTAGTTGTAAGAAACAACTGGAATTGCATGTTCGAACCATGTGAAGGTAATGTGCAAGGTAACAAGCATGTTGGAATCCCCTCTGAAGGTAATATGAGGATCATTCATATCCTTTAACAAATATATAATATAAGAAAAAGAAAGTGAAAAAAAGAAATTTTCCATTTCACGGGGTTAAGCAGTTCCAATTACTATCAAACTGCAGTGCCAGTCGTTCTTTAGCAAGTTTATGTAGATTATAGGAAGCATCGAATATGGACAAATGTAAACATAATATTTGTTTTTCAAACTGCCGACGATGTGATTTTCTTTAACACCAGCCTACGATGTGATTAAGATCAAATATCAATATAAAACGGCATTCTGATATTAGAGAAATTTGGTGAGCATGTGGAATACTATCTTTTTATTTGAGCATGTCGCTGTTAAACACTCATTACATCACACATACGTTTAGTTCCATGAAATTATGATTAGATACAAAAAAAATTATCAGCTAAAAACAGCTAAACTATGTACAAGAATTAAAGGTTTTTTAATAAAAAGAAAAGACTTTTAAGGTTTGATTTCTTATATAATTTAACATAAAATAGTTGCACTATGCAACAATATAAATACCTTTTTTGGTAAAATACAGTATAAATACTTACGATAACAAGGTGTGAGAATAATTGTGATAGGAAATATGCATACCAAATTTTCGAAGTAATCCATGTGAACCAGATGAACATTGCGTCATGTATTTTCCAATCTACTAAATGAATAATGTAACATGGAAATTTTTGTGTTGCAATGGACAAGCGTGGAATATTGTAAAATGATATATATATATATGTATATATCTATTAGGTGATGGAGATGGCATTTGGTGAGTTTGAAGATATTTGGAGCATTTTGGAGTCAATAGAGCGAACAATCAACAGTTCTGAAGGTCTTAACGGTATCTTTTGAAGCTCAATTTTTGGGAAGATTTAGGAAATTGAGATAGGTTTCTAATAGAAGTGGTTTCAAGTCATCTGCTGCAAGCATATCAATCATGTAGCGACTAGGGCATGTCATTTGGGAGAAACGAGCTTATGTGGTGACTACTGTAACAACCATAGCATGTTAGTACGATAAAATTTCTTGAAAATTCTAAAGTATCCTGATGACCAAATCATGTCTTGAGGAGCATGTCGCTACAGACGAAAAGACCCAATTTTTAAGCTCATTTTTAGACTTCTATAAATACATTAAATACCTAATTTAGATATTTTCTTATTTTTTCTCAAAACCTTATCTAGTCTTGTAAAAGCTTGAAATTTGAATTATTTTAAGGAAGTACTTTATTTTGTATTGTGTTTGTCATGCTCATTAATATGATTAGCCTTAAATTTTACATGGGTTTAAGATTTTTTATAGAGATTAGTGAGCATACTCTTTGTGGATTCATGGTTTAGGTTATTCGAGTGATTAATTAATT